CACTTCAATTTGGCTGTCTGACAACCAAGCCTCCACACGTATCTCTGTCTTCCGGTAGCTCTTCCTATGACTTTTCTTCTCTCCGTGCAACATCTTTTCTAACCTGCTGTTCGGATATTAATCTTGGCCTCCCTGTTGGACATTCTTCTCTCCCTCTGATGTTAAAAAACTTCCTTGGATAACCACCTCATTCTATTATTTGTTAGTCTGTCTTCTAAACTGTTTAACTTTAGTTATATTCCCCGCCCCCCCATGTGTTTTGAGTTTTAATTAATTCTTCATGGGCTACCAACTGTGTCAGGTGGGTGACACGTTTCTGTTTTTGCCTTTCAACCACTTGGCATGGCTGGTAGCCTGAGAACAATTCATTATGCTTGGTGGCCATGAATGCTTCAGATCACACATGTTTCGGGTTTTCCTTCTGCACTTCTTCTTATAAAAACATCTTTGCTGCCAGCAATCTACTCATAATATCTGCCATGATCCATGTCCAAGTATCTACTCCATACATTAATTTGGGCATATAGTACCTTTTAAATATGCATATTCTATCTTCTTAGGCATTTCCAAAATACAACCCTCTAACTGGTAAAAATTTTTATGAATTTTTTGTTCTGCCTAATTTGTTCTTTAACAATTTCATCTGTCTCTATTTTACTTCCTAAATATCGAAAGCTATCCACTCCCATTATTTCAAGACTACCACATTTCATCTCCTCCATGCCCACCGTCTTCCAGTTTATTTTTGTAACCAGACATTGATCTAAATTGATGTTTAATTCAAAATCTTTATCACCCCCCCCCCCCCCCAACTATTGCCAAGGTCAAGAATGAGTAGGAGTTACACTCCTCTCCCCCTAGGTGCCTACATGGTGTTTCATGAGACAGCTTTTTACTTTTACATTATTTAAAACAATTAACTTAAATCAGAATGCTAAAACATTCAGAAGTGAAAAACACTCATTAAGTCATAAAATCATAATTATTAAAACTGCAGGTGTTTAGTGAAGATTCTTCTAAAACAGTGAATGAGCAAGTTATCTAAAAGTACGATCGACGCACCCATCTACTTATCCATGAACTGACTTCTTGTCATCACAGAACATTTCACCATGTAAAATTCACTGACTTCTGAAGAACATTTACAGAGACAATCATTGTTCTTCTGATGTCAGCATAGTTGGATAGAGGGTTAGGCATCTTACAAATATTGTGTGCCACAAATGGTGACACCAGATTGCAAGGAATAGAGAATGGTGGCGTGCGCTTATCTCGTGAAACACCACGTAACAAAGGGCAACAATTTCCTTTAAAACAGTTGTCAATGGAGCGGCGACCAAGGATTCACCATGAAAGAGATTTAAAGTCGAACTATTCACATGAAAAGCCACAGGAAAGGGTTATCCTTGTGAATTTTCTGTAGCAGGGACAGACAATCACAATTCTGCTCACTGTGTGGAGACACTGGAGCAGCTGAAAAACCAAATTGCTGGAGTGAGGCCAGAAAAGAAAGAGAAACGTCTTCAGCATAACAATGCTCCATACAGCGTCATGGTAAGAAAGGCCATCTGGGTGGACTGTCTTGCCACATGCCACATTTGCCATACAGTATGGATCTTGCACCATCAGACTTTCCTCTGTTCGTCCCAACAAAGAACAGTCTTCACATAGAACCACATCTGTTATGAATATGCTCTTATAGCAGCTGTCAAGAAGCTGACAGCAAGTTTTAAATTAGTGCAGTGGAGGGGAAGGTTTATAGAAAGGGGTGGAAAAATAAAGGTGACATACCTTAAGGTTTCAAGGATCACAATTTTCATTTATGTATCTTTATTCCCAGCCAAGAAGAGAATGGCATTTATTTCAAAACATTACTCAAACATCTTAACCATAGCCGCTCCACCCCATGGGTACAACAGGTGTATCGCACCTGGGTGGTAGCATATGAGGGGTGGCAACTTGCTATGGGGGCACAAAATTTTGAAGCATTGCATTGGAGTGCTGAAAATCGGGGGTGGCACCAGAGGGTACATCTGTCTAAGGGAGCCATGGAGCATTTAAAAGAGATTAAATCCATTGACAATTGAACCTGGTAATATTTTGCTTACTTCTTCCTTCTCTGATACTTGTTTCAAATAGTGTATGCAGTAACAGCTAGCTCCCTGTTTTGAGTGAATGTATTTTAAATAAGCCCAATGATGACAATAAGCTGAAACACGTCACGCATAAATTCGCTAGTCAAGTAAATAGACACAAATTGTGTGTAAGATAGACTAATATTCTTACAAATTTTCTGAACTGTGCCACAACACTTTGCTAAGTATAATATTAATCATAGGTAATACCAGTATTCTCAGTTCTAGTCTGAATAATAATAGTGAAAAATTATTGACATCCCAGGGAAGTTTGAACAGCCCCTCCATTAAAGATCTAGAAAGTTTTCATTAACTCCCTGTGCTGACAAATTAAATCCTGTCTCATCCCCTGCCCAGAATTTCCTGACTTGTTCATTTTTTGTGTAATTTCAACATCTCTGGGCCCCCTAGCTGCAATGTTCATCTGCTCCATCAAACTATGTAATGCAGTATTCTATCTTCCACTAATTCATAAGTAAATTATTAACTGAAATGAATTCCCTATAACTCATTAATGAAAAATGTATGACAAAAAGGTTTTTTTTTTTAAAGTGTTTATCTAGTCAAAAGGTTTTGAGCCTGTGTCAACGATGATTCTCCACACATCTGCACTAATTGGCACTGCAAGTTATGGATAATGCAAGTGGAAACCTTTAACAATTTTCACACATCATCAGACAAACAAAAGGAAGAGGCATGCAACATTTGAAAGGCTATATACACACACTGACATCTAAAGAAGGTACAGATACTGGAAACAGGGAGCATGTACTACACATAAGTAAAAGCATTATGTCCTCTTACAAAGTCATGAAAATAGAAGCGGTAACAAAGGAAGAGAACTTATTATGCCATTTGAGTACTCTTTCCACTCCCATCTACTTGCATGAGACCTTTAACAACTTCACTATCAATGATGGCTGTGAGTGAAGCCAAATCTTAGACGTCACTGAAATATTTGATCTCTTCTCCAGCAGATACCAGCCAACTTCCAAGACTTCTTCACAGTTCACACTACAACTTTCTAGGAACTGAAATATGTATCGATTTTTAATAAAATTTTGTAAAAAAGAAGTTAATTTACGCAGTCCCTAAAGCTTAGACCAGTCCAAATGGACCGATAGCAATGGTGACTATACACCCACAGGTGTAAGGAGCCAGTGACTGTTGATTCTTCTTTTTTAGGAAATATTACTGATGCAGTTTCCAGACTCAGGTAGCAGAAGTACAGTACATACAAGTTTGGACACTGCTATTTTGGGGAGATTTAGTAACGTACAGTGCTGTCAACACATACTTTTAATTCAGAATTAATTTACTATTAATTAATAATAAAACACCAATTTAATGGTTAATATGTGCAGGCTTTTACCATGAAAAGTCTTCTTCTTCCTAACACATTTCCACTTCAATTTGGCTGTCTGACAACCAAGCCTCCACACGTATCTCTGTCTTCCGGTAGCTCTTCCTATGACTTTTCTTCTCTCCGTGCAACATCTTTTCTAACCTGCTGTTCGGATATTAATCTTGGCCTCCCTGTTGGACATTCTTCTCTCCCTCTGATGTTAAAAAACTTCCTTGGATAACCACCTCATTCTATTATTTGTTAGTCTGTCTTCTAAACTGTTTAACTTTAGTTATATTCCCCGCCCCCCCATGTGTTTTGAGTTTTAATTAATTCTTCATGGGCTACCAACTGTGTCAGGTGGGTGACACGTTTCTGTTTTTGCCTTTCAACCACTTGGCATGGCTGGTAGCCTGAGAACAATTCATTATGCTTGGTGGCCATGAATGCTTCAGATCACACATGTTTCGGGTTTTCCTTCTGCACTTCTTCTTATAAAAACATCTTTGCTGCCAGCAATCTACTCATAATATCTGCCATGATCCATGTCCAAGTATCTACTCCATACATTAATTTGGGCATATAGTACCTTTTAAATATGCATATTCTATCTTCTTAGGCATTTCCAAAATACAACCCTCTAACTGGTAAAAATTTTTATGAATTTTTTGTTCTGCCTAATTTGTTCTTTAACAATTTCATCTGTCTCTATTTTACTTCCTAAATATCGAAAGCTATCCACTCCCATTATTTCAAGACTACCACATTTCATCTCCTCCATGCCCACCGTCTTCCAGTTTATTTTTGTAACCAGACATTGATCTAAATTGATGTTTAATTCAAAATCTTTATGCACTGTAACAACCCTCTTGAATTTCTTCTCTAAAGGCATTCTGTCACAACCCTTACAGTCTCACACTTTTCTGTCTAACCATTGTCGCTGTTTTAACGCTTTTCGTAAATGTTCTCTATTCGATTAATTCCCTGGGTAAACATGGCAGCAAAGTAAAATATCACACTCCTGGCCAGTACCTAACTGCAATCATCCAGTGAATATCCAATTACTTTGCTCTCTTCACTCAGCTCACAAGATAACGAACACCGAAGCCAGAAAAATGTGGTGCAAAAAGCTCAAAAAGTGAGGAATGCTGAAGTCAAGAGAGGCGAGATGTCAAAAGTTAAGTCAATTCATGGTTATGATTAATTAATTGTAACAGCAATGGCACAATTTATCACTGTTAATAAAATGTCTACACACAAGCAAGTTCACAGTCTTTCCTCCATTTCCAGGATATAAACTTCGTCTTCAAATTATGATACATTTTCAAAACCCCTGCAAGTACAAGCTCCCTATGCCCAAGCACAAATGTAGTTGTGGGGGGCACAGCTCCATGCATCCCATACCTCAGCAGCACAAAATGAAGTACAAGTCGTGAAAAGATATTTGGAATTATATAAACATATTTACAGCCATATGAACTAGTTTCTAACTGGCAATTGATAGCGGAAGGAACGCTCACCGAGGTGCCGGTCTGGCAACAGCGTGGCTGTGGTGGTGGTAGCAGTGGTGCTTATGACTGCTGACAAGTACTTGCGATTCTCATTGTTGGTGATCTCCTTGATGCTTTCCAGCACCAGAGTGCGTATCCACACGCACAGGTTAGTTGCCACAATGTGCATTAAACCGAAGCGTGCCAGTATCTTGAAGCGGTGGATGTTCAACTGCAACACACACGCCCGCTTCCTGCACTGTTAACTGGACTTGTCAAATATTACACCAACTGAACTCAAACTAAAATGCTGTTGCCTTCCTGACTAAACTAGACGCATAAAACAAAAATATGCTCCGCTCACGTGCCTCAGCAAATGAATGTGTCTCACAATGACATTAATATAAGCCAGATAAGAAAAAGACACAAAGTACTACGTAAATCTGTGAAACAACTGCAAATCTATTTGAAATTGTCAAATTAATGAGCAAACTGTTGAATGAACATGTCAAACAATCACACATCAGGTGAACCTAATGTTACCTGGCCATGAAGAAAAAAGAAACGCAATGTTAATTCACCATATCGCACTAACATTCTGTAAGGTAGATACAACGAGCACATTAATGCAGTGCCAGTTTGGCATATCAGATTAATGCCAGTAATGCAACATCAAGCTACCATGTCAGCCTGCCTTATCATTGACATAATTCAACGCAAAAGTTACACCATGGTACGCTAATGCAATGAAATGTAACTGCTAACATGATACACATGTCATGACACTTACCCGTGAGTTCATGAAGATGAAGTACATCTGCATGAATGTGAAGATCATCTGCAGCACAGGGTTGATGCCACGCAATATCTGGTAGCATGGCGACGTGAATGGGATCTCAAAGAACGCCCCACACTCCAGCCCATTGTAGATCATAGTTCCCAGACCGAAAGCTAGAATGTAACTCAAATGCTATTTACACTGACACTGTGTTGTACTTCTGTATGGATGGTTATTAAACCAAAGGGAAATATCCATTGAAACTAGAAGGAAGAGATGTCTGTGACTCACAACCAAGAATTCCATGTAAAATGAAACAGAGAAACAGATTTGTGTTAAAAGGATGAGAAATATAGTTGTATTCAGAGAAAATGTTGGCAAAAGAAACGCAGATCGCCGCCATGTAAACCTCAAATCGTACTTAAAAGAAATGTGGTTACAAGTAATTCACAAAGTGATGACATTTTGCATTTTAAAGATAAGCAGGTTTTCTTGGTGGAGTGACTGCCTTTAGACAGCAAGTTCAAATTACTACTCCATGCGGAATACAAATTTTTATAATCTTCTGAGAAGTAATAACTATTCTAAGCATTATAAAGATTGGAAAATTAATGGGAACTGAACTAAAAGAGAGGAAATTCTGCTTAATCACAACAGGGAACCTATGAAATTGGAGGGCACTACAGTGACTGTCATGGTAGAGTTAGTGGTGAGACCAAGAGGAAATCACAGATGAAATCCTCACATGCACAAACTTACCAATGGCACCAACACGCAGGAAGAAGCTGCCATGGCTGTGAACATTCTGCGATGTTTTTCGTTTCCGGGGCGCGTTCTGAGGGCGGCCAGACTCCAGATCCTGCGAGTCAGAACCAGTTAGCTTTTCCTGAGAGGGGCTGTCCCCACCAGCGCCATCATTGAGGTTCACATCCTTGCTGCTACGCAGGTTTCGCAGAACCCCCTGCACACAGTCACATTCAAGCTAGCATGGCTCATAAAATATTGAATGGATCAGGGGATGGACATACACAATCGCACACGCATAAACGTGCGTGTACGCACACACACAGTACAGTAAAAGACTTTGTCCTATGAACACATACAAAGCCAATGGCAGGTGCTGCTCAAATGAGTGGGCTCTCCCAATGTCATTAAGGGCTCATGATATCCTATCCAGTCATCATCACATTTTCTCCAACAGACATTAAATGTTAACAAAATTTGCAACGCTGATGAATCGATGCTCATAACAGTTTTAAACTTAACCATGTGTATCACTATTTAGCCACAGCCACTTGGTTAAAAAGGTTAAGTTGGCATTCAAATTCTTAGAAGTGAATGTGTCCATTACTCAAGGTACGATGCCTTTGATGATGACCAGAAAACTGTAAGGGTGATACAAAGACATGAGGGAAAACATCTTATGCCCTGATTTAGATTTCAACCCATGGGAGCTTCTTGGAAATGGTGAGTCAGTTGTGGAAATCAATCTGTTTGTGAAAATTTGCATGCCATCACATTCCTCCAATAGTACTACCATGTCTAGTGCCTAGACTTATGAAGTGAAAACACCACTAATGTTGAATGATGAAAGATGTTTGAAAATATGTGTATTTTACTGGTGTAATTGTTTTAGGAAAACATAATTTTATATGATCACAAGAAGTATTATTATGGTATGATTATTGTCATAACTGATGAATATTGTTAATGACAAGAAACTTTTAAGGCGACATTTAAACATATTAATTAGCAGTCCCAATAGTTTTTTAAATCTGTAAGGTTTAATTCTTCAGAATCCTATAATGCACCATGCCAATGCCCTCTCTCTCTCTCTCTCTCTCTCACACACACACACACACACACACACACACACACACACACACACACACACACACACACACACACACACACACACACACACACACACACACACACACACACACACACACACACACACACACACACACACACACACACACACACACACAAGTGCATTAATGGAATAGATTTGCGAAAGGTGACTAAAGGCACGAGAACCCATTCTTCCTGTTACAGAGCCACACTGCACGATTCTCTAAAAGTTTGTGGCCATGACTGGTTCAATACAGGAACACAGTTGATATATATACACAATGTTCTGGGAGTTAGTTCTCCCGTCTTTAGGCAATTTATTCTCATGATACACTTTTTGTTCTATTATTAGTGAAAATGGTCAGGATGAAGTCCAGGACCTTTCAAATCCTGGGGTAGTACGCTAAGCAGTAGACCAGAAATTGTTGTAATTATAAGTCTACACGTGTTACACATCCAGTTTTCCCATTCTGTAAGATTTCCTCGTTCACTGGTTTCTGTTTCTAGGGTTTATATGTTTATCCACGTCCGCTTTTAACTTAAAAGGAAGAGACAAACATTGAAATTGAAGCCCTAATTCAGAGAAACCATTACCCTGCATATTGAAAAGTGAAAAATGAATAAGAAACACCTTAAATGGTCTAATCAGCCTCAAACATACAGTGATGTGTTACATATAGGACATGAAGAAACAGTTACGTGTTGTGTAAACGCAGAAAGAATGAACGTATAAACTTGCATTCACAACATAACGTTCCAGTATAATCTTGTTTCTAGCTTTGACTAAGAACTTCTTTTATCAATTTTGGGGGGTGTCCATTTCTTATTAGTGTCAATGTTGAAGTTGCTTCTTCCTCTTTGCAGGTGTCTTCATTTGTGCACATGGGCGTTTCTCTGTTATGTAGGCATTTAACTATTCCCTGTCTGGTGATGAGTGAGTGCTCAGAGGTGTGCTGTAGGTAATGTCTAATGGCAGACAAAATATTCTGAACTGCCTTCCTGATTATTTTCCACTCCCTTGCAAGAAATGTGCAATTGACACTGTTTGCAGAAGTTACAGTAACATCATCTCTTGCTCCAGTGATGCTTGCCAAAATCCATTTCCAGTAGCGTTAATCTGTACTGTGTGCAACAGATAATTAGTATAAGAAATAAGTAACATGTAAAAATTGTTAAATTCCCAACCAATGTCAAAAAAAAAAACTAGTACCTTTTCTCTGAGACCAGCCAAAGTGCCAGGTGAGATGAAGCCCTTTAACTATAGACTGAGGTTAGGTTAGGTTGTGCTACTTGGTCATTGCTATCAGATATCTTATGGGAATGTGAAAGATGAGTGAAGTCACCCCCAAGACTGAGAAGCCAACATCCAGCCACCTCAGCTATGGCACGACCTTCAACCAGTATTCCTCCATCAGCAATTTTTCATTTTCACATCTAAAGCCTTTTTTTTTATTATATTACAGGGTCTCTTTACCCCTTTGTGTATCATGCACAAAGGCATAATTTATTTATTCTTCAGAAAACAGTTGACCTTACAGCAATAAGCCCAAGGAATTAAACTGTTCACGTTATTTTGAACAACTTTTGTAATAACAAATTCTTCTTATAATCAACAGTTTTGAAGAGAATCTACAGTTTTTGATATGAAAATATCTAGTGGTGATTTCTGACCTTGACTGTCATTTGGAAAAGCTGTCAGGGGAGCAGATTTGTGACCAAGCCAGAAAACATTCTACAGTTCCCAAGAATTCACCCCAAAAACAGATTTCTCTGTACACACATTCTCCAACAGGTCTGTGGCTGGCCCCTAGACTAATACCATAAAGTATCTGTCACTACCAGCTGTGACTTCTGCCTACAACATTAGCCAACAGACTTCAACAATTCTTGTTCATTCAGAGTGGTGATACTGCATTTCAACAAATGGAAACACCTGGTGAAGCTGTACTCAATGATGCCTGAATAACTTCAATTTTGAATACACATATTTTCCAAATAAGTTCTTTGTAATGTTTTACAATCCCCTATTGTTGATAAAAATCAACAATAGTACAAATATTAGAAAAAAAATTACATTTATTAATTAAAATATGTACCACACAGAAATTTGTCAGCTCCATATTATGGGCACAAAGAGCTGTTTAGAGAAATGTGATAAAGCTTGAATTTAGCTTCATATAAAGTGAGGATTTTATAAGACAGAAGTGGTTAAAAATGAAACTCCCTTGCCACATTTTACTGTGGAACACAAATTACACTGACATGCGTTATGTGGGTATGGAGACTTAAGATGCAAATAATAGATAAAACAGATATAACTTCCATTTTATGCACTTTGTTATGAAGCACGTTCATAATTGTAATTTATCGATGATGACGTGACCATCTCACAAGGTACATACAACCACAACCAATCAAGTGCAACAAACACACACACATGCTTATGTCATTAACCAGCACTTTGTGTAACTCTCCAGTAAAAGTGAATCATTAAATAAACTATAATAAACAAAACAAACTCCATGGTCAGGACCTACCCACTTCAGTTCATACGTAGTTCAGGAAGAGATTTCCTCTAACCTCATCAGCAATGTTGGGAAAACCTAATTCAGTCTAGTTCACATCCAGTTTCTCTAACCTTCATCCCAAATGGTTTTATCTCTTGACATTTTCCATCCCCTGATGATGGAGGCAGCAAGGACCTATGAAACATCAGTAAACGTCTACCAGACTTCACGCCGCAACAACCCAGAAGACAGCCATCTTCAACCTTAACCATGCAACAAGTCTAACACATATTATTATCAATCTTGACAACACGAGATGAAGAAAAATTATGAAGACCCATCTTATGCAATATTCACCATTCCCCTGTTAATTCATGCTATTAGATAATGCTCTATCCTCCTTGTTTCTCAAATACATTCTGTCGACGTTCTTTCCTTACAGTTAGATGCAACATTCCACACACATACAGAACATGCAAAATCACAGTACCATAAACAGGTCTGGTCACTTTAGGCAATGGGAAAATGGGTAGCTGCCAAAGGCCCTCTGAGTTTAGCCGCCTACACCACGTGAATGAGCTTAAAGTTTCCAAAAGTATTTCTGAATATTTCAAGAACATAAGTGAAGACTTTTCAGATTATGTCACAGTAAGTATCCACTAATTACCCCAGATATTACCGCCATGCAAACGGCCAAACGCGTCAATGTTACCCTCTTAGGTATTAGAAGCACCATCAGCAAATTGTAAAAATCAATATTTTTAAATTCCTTTCTGTTCTTTTTCCTTTTATCAATACAAATACATTTTGTACTGGCACAAAATTGTCAAGTTTTTATGAGTAGAGGGAGGGGGAGATCACACTTTGCCTCGGGCCCACAACAGCATTAAAGCTATCAAAATATTCTATTCTGCTCATCTCAATAAAACTGAATGAAACTGATTTTTCCTGGCTAAGAATTGTAATAAATTTAGACGTCTCTTGAATTATTACTTTATGGATACAAAATGAAGAGAAAATGTACAAAAGCCATGTCAGGGCTTTCTTGGTACATCAGATAACCTGCAGTTTTAAATTAGCCTTGTTTTAGTTAATACAAAGCAACATGACGTACGTTCTACTGAGCTACTTGCGAGAGAGTTTCACAGAGTGCTGAATATCTTGTGAGTGCCACCACACTAGCAGAACTCACCTTGGCCTGGACAAGGCCCGAGTTTTGTTCCAGCTGCTGTTTCAACTTGAGCAAGTCCTTCATCTTACGAGGATACACCTCCCGCTGCAGTAGTGCCAAATCAAACATAACAGCAAATAAAACAGATTTTGGTGGCCCCTAGAGTCATGCTAGCTCAAGTAATTGGTAACACAACATGCATGTACTTAATTTCATAGAGTCAGGTCACCAGCAACTCCTTATGTGGTTAGAATCCTGCGTGGAAAGGATGAAAATGAATCGCTTATATTCTTGTATCAGACACAAAAGGTCATGAAATGTATCCCAGTGTCAGCAACAAAGAACGTTGCTAAGCCAGAAGTAAACGGACACACAAGATATTCCAGATTCAGAAAAAGAAGGTCACATCTGGTATTCTCAAGTCAGCAGCAAATAGGCATGAAGGTGATCCTAAATCAGAAGTAAAGAGCCACACAAGGTACCAATGAGTTAGCACCAAGAGGTTACGTAAATATTGCTGAGTGAGGAATAGAAGGTCACATCTGATATTCTCAAGTCAGCAGAGAACAGCCACGAAAGATATTCCAGAGCCAGCAATAGAAGGTCACATGAGATATTTGTAAGAAAGCCGTCACTAAGGTCGGAAGTAAAGAGCCATATAAGGTGTCAGTGAGTCAGCAACTGAACTAGCACCAAGAAACAAGTTAAATGAATCATTTCCTGTGAACAGGTTACACAAGAAGTCACTTCTAGCTGACGATCACAATATTTTACGCACGGACCACGCAATTGGGCAATTGAACTAGCATGACTCTGCAAGCCACAGCAACCAAGGAAATGCAACATATCAAACAAGCAGCTTGCAAATAAAGATAAATAATGCAGCACTTATAAGCATGAGTGATACAGCCACACTATGTAACAAAGTGTGCACTTTTACTGCAGGTTTTATAACACATTCACGTTTTCACCCCCAAACCCCTCCCCCCTTAATTACATTTATAAATGAGACATTTTTCTGTTGTTTGGTTTCTGGGTCTTTGATAAAAAGAAACCTTAAAGCCACTGTACCTGGACACAACAGGTTTTTGAGGGTGTGTACAGAATTCACTAAATTAACACAAAATTGGCAGGAAGTGATTGTGTGCGTCCATCAGCATGTTTCTTGGTTACTCTGCATTTTATATCTCAAAAAGGTATATTCATGAAATGTGATATTGTAATCTATTATTATTGTTATTATTATTACTACTACTACTTTTTCCACATCCTACTGTCATCTGACTATCTTGTGGATCCATGGAATGTAATAAAATATGTATGTATGTATGTACACTAAAAATTTAACAATTACAGTTTTCACCATTATCAGTCCTGTCCACCACTTACTTTAAATGAAGCACAAATGCACAATCAATCAATTTTCTCTAATACAGATAAACTTTAGAATGCTTATTCAAAACAGTTTCGCTGTACAGTGTAACATCTGTAATACTTATTACCTTTGTGAGCAGAACAGTTTATAACTCTTGTGAAGTGTAACAGCATTTTGTAATGATGGTTAGCTTTTACGTCTTGCAACAACAGATTTTTATGTGCAGTGAACGAGTATCAAGACCACCCATGGATAAAAAAAATGCAAAAATGCATTTGAAAAATCAGTGTTCAGGACTGTTTCAGATCCCCGTTTGCAAATCCAATCCATAATTTTAGGAAACAATGCATAAACATATTTGTTGAGTTTCAATATTTAGGGCATTAGTATTTCTGGTGAGGAAAAATCAATGACCAAAATAGAGCCAAATGGCAAGGCGAAGTCACGGAGAACAACAACTTACAAATGAACCAGCTGCTCAGGACAGAGTCCTTCTTGAGAACGTAATAGCCACTCGGCTAGTCAGATTCCCCATAGCGTATTGAACCTAATAATGAATCAAATAACTCTTAAAATAATAAACTGCTTGTGTGAATCGGCACTCTTAATCCACTGCCAAGAGTCTGGTTTGAGAATAGGATTTAGGCCACGTAAATCCATGACACAGGAAATTCTGAGTTATTCAGCTGGTCGTGGAATCTCCCCCACCCCACTCAAGTATATTCATTAATAAGTCTCCTAATCCAGTCATTACTGTTGCATTCAGTTTCTGTAAGATCATTTTAATGTTACCTTCCCATCTTTACCTGACTAATGAATAATTTTATTCTTTGAATGTGATATTTTGTACATAAGTGGTTCGTAAACATGTAAATTTTGTCACCATCTTCTTCTAGCCGCAAAGGAGTCAGGCCATTTGTTGATCTGTTCCACAAATTTCTAAATTATTTCTTTAATATAAATTTTAACTTTAGTACAACAGAAAGGTTTTAAGGTTACATCTCATTATTTTCAGGTACAGAGAATCTATGTCAGGGAACATTATAGAATATATCACTAAGTTGTATAATTAAGCATTTCTGATTTCTGTTAGCCTGTACCACCCCACCCCACTTTCCCATCCCCCTTTGCCTGTTCAAACATGCGAGCGTGCAAACTCACACACACACACTCACAAAGGCAATCCTAAAACTATATGCAATTTTCTTCCACCAACCACAGCAGCAAACTAGACGCTAACAGTTGTCAGCATTGAAACGTGCACGTCGATGCATCAGTTACATTTGGCTAACATTCACAGCTCACGGAGTGTGCATCAGTGGACTGAAATGTTCAAGAATGGTTGGACAAGAATAACCAATGCAGAGCTCTCAGAATGGATGTCCACATCAGTCAATGGAGCACAGTCGTGGGTCTCGACAACAGAAGGTCAACATTAAGGAATGCTGCAACACGTTTAAGTATCAGTCGAGGTTCAACGCATATAGTTGTGAATTTTTTGATGCAACGAGGTTTCTGCAAGGTCAGCGCCAAGTTTCTTTTTCTTTGCAAAAGCACAATCACGTAGACACTGGTTCTCACCTTCTACAGTAGTACCACATTACAGGCAAAACTTTTCAATTGCATCACCACCATTATGACTCGGAAAGCGAACATCAGAGTATGCGACGGAAGCACCCGGCAACAGCTTAAGCTTAGTGTTCTCACACTCCAATGTTCCTATCCTTAAAATTATCAAGAAATGGGAACCACGGCGACAAGCGTAAGATACTGTGAGTAGCTGCGCAATGAACTGAAGCCAGCTACTGCAAGAAATGGGGAGGAAGGCTGTCACATGATGTTCCTGCGTTGTGCAATAACGCCCACCTTAATTTTTTCTGCCCACACCAAGGAAACCCCACAGGAGCTGAGATTCGAAGCTCTTGACTGCAAACCACACAGTCCAGATCTTGCACCTTCTATCTGGACCCTTGAAGGAGTCCTTGAGAAGTCATCGATTTGCAAATGATGGAAAAGTGGAGGGAGAGACGTATGCCTACAGTCAACCAATTTTTATGGTATAAGAAACTTGTGGGACCACTAGAATAAGAGTACGCAGAAGCAGGGAGACAATGCAGAAAAGTAATAAATCTGTAAACATTCAGAAGCAATATTATGTTAAGAAAAAGAACAACTGCGTATACTATTTGAATTGCCCTCACGTATAGTATGGAAGCATTCTGAAGAAAAATTAAGGGCATTAGTTCTATCCAAAATGTCTTATCTTCCTTACAGATGTTCTTAGATGTTGACATTTTAAAGTGCCTTGAGATTATTTGTTACATTTTGGTTATTTTATTCAATTTGATTTTTAAAATACTTCATTTTATTTGAATAGGAACTAAGTTTCTTTCATCAGTGCTTCATAAAATGGAAACTAGTAAAAGTCAGCCATAAATTTCATGGCTGGAATGACAAACTGAGAAACTTTCCTGATGAACATTTGTCGGTACTCCCGGTATGAGCTCACTCAAGGTACTGTTTCTGTTCCACCCTTCAATTAAACGCAATCACACTAGAGACATAAGAACTAACCACATCTGTCTTGTAGATTGCAGCTCTGCAGAGAGACATGGAAATTACATGAGTAGTTCCTTCAAAATGCATACTGTTCAGTCCTTAATAATCACCGTAACAGAGACATGCATGCGCAAATGAATATCACACAAACGTAACAACTAAAGCGCCATCTGAACTGTTCAGTTCTACTCTTAACCAATGCAACTGTTCATTAAGACATGGGCATTCAATTCATCCCTCATATGCTTATTTCTTCAAGACTCAATTCCTCATCAAACCCCAATGGAGAGAGTGCCTGCAATTTTCTTTGAAACCACAATCTCTTTGTCAGCATATAGATTCAGGCACGTTCGTTGCATCTGGACTACGCAATTAGTTCCGACAACCCATATTACTGCTTCTTAAAATACTATCAGTACTCATAATCCATCATTACACACCTTCACCAAAAACCAATTATTTCCATACCCAAACATATAAACAACAATTTACCAATGCAGTTCACTCATGCTTCTAAGGCTGCCCCTAATGAAACAAGCACGCGGCAGCACCAAGGGTTCAGTGAGGACGGGCGGGCGGGCGGGCCACAAAAGGGGCCATGCTGTGTGCATGAGCTGTTTCTGCCTTACACATGCCTGTGGGAAGAACCCTCACATGCAACTGGGGATGTACACGTGTGCTATGGGTGTCAGGTGTAACTGCGACTCACATGTACCTTCATAACTAGTAGAACTGAGAGAGGTATTACACCAGAGAGGGTTACATGATCTGGTTACTGCACTACAATAATCGATCGCCTCAAGTTCGTCTCGTTATTAATTCAGAGACAAGACGACAGAAATTCTAACGAAAGCTACGTTAAACCCGTTAACTGAGAGTGGAAAGGAAAGTCAGGATGCTACATCACTTGACTGTGGAGAACTGGAGAGCTGTACCTAAACATGTATTTACTGCAATATAAAATAAAGACACAAATTTCTGGGGTGTGCACACATACTTGAATTGTATAGTGCACTTCTCAACACATTACAATTCCCATGTTTATAACACTGAAATAACTGTACAAGAAGAATAAATTCTGGTCTGTTTGAAGTCGAGTCTTATCACTTACTTGGCAGAAAGAAACGATGTCAAACTTTGTGTTCAATTTAGTCATGCAAGGTCATAAATATTTACCATCATACCTTACAGTTCACTACGTTGATATTTCAATTAAGAGAACAGCAGAATTTTAGTGTAGACGAGCAAATGCATTATATTCACCCAAGATCAGAAATAATGACACGGCAGTGATGATAATTTAAGGAAATAGAAATCGGTATGATGTTCCTGTTGACACTCTCCAACGAGCTGGATTACTGCTTAATTAATTAACTAATTAATTAATTGTTCATTAATTTTTCAGCATGTAATGCTAACTAACACCTGCTGAGCATCATTTTGGTTGACTCCTTCAATACCTGCTTCAAGTGCCAGTTTCACAGTATTATACTGTATTCCTTCAGCAACATTATCAAACCCAGGAAATCATGCATTTTGGCAGCGAAGCCCTCCAACACCGTTCACGGTTTCTTCTAGTCTTTTTGTTCAAGGCCGCAGCAAAACTATCGACAACCTGACCTGATTGATGGTCATCCGATCCCAAGACAACAAATTCATGATGAGCTACGGGAAACAAGTTTTGGAGGCGGCCGTAACACCCTAACACATAGGATGCGGTGCCAGATGAAGTGGTGACTGAAGGCAAGGCAACGCATCTAATATTGATAGTGCAATAAGCATTATGAATTATTACAAATGCTACGTTGTCAAGGCTGTATTTGGAACCATATTATGTAATGAAGGGTGGAAGGTAGTCTGTCATGTCAGCAAACAACGCCATCCTCAACTTCCTACTGGATCACCAATTCAAGGGTAGTGACGGAACATTGCGTCCTTCAGGGGCTCAAGGATTGGCAGTGGCTTCTGATTCACACCACCTTCAATATTACGCCAACCACCAAGAAAAATAAATTGTGAGAAGGTCCATATACTTTAAAGCCTTAAATATGCACTGAAAAAATAAACAGTCCCATCTTATTAACATCAAAAATCTACCTTGATAGAAAAATATGTGAAATATTTCTAGTTCTGAAAGAAGCCAAAATAATTACTGAATGTTAAATCACAACTGAAGCAACATCTTTGCTCTTATGATGGAGGCTGTAAGCTTCTCTGAAACAATGGTAAATATGTACCACCTTGCACAGTGCTACATTCCAGAAGACGGATATCTTCATACACATGGCACCGAGAATCTTAAGACTCATGGACTTCTCACTGTGTTATCACATTGCAAACTTAGGTTGTCTGTTGTCAGATTTGACAGCATTAAATGATCTCAAATGGCAAGCAGACTAAAAATTGAGCATATTCTGTGATCTAATCGTTTCTTAACAGACTCTGCCCCTCATACTGCACGTGAAATGTGTCAAAGTCTAGTCAATTTCATACTCAAAAATGAAGTTCCGTGCCCTACGAATCTACCATCATTAGCACGGAGATTGTGCTAATGTTATCCTTGCATGTAAAACTACCAGATTCCAATTTCTCTCTCAGTACAGCAGCACTAAAGAATTGCCGTTGTGGAAAACATTTTGAGCATTCTGCTGCTATGAAACGGAAGGGCTTCAACACGCTTGAAAGACATGCCGGAGTGGCTCGGAAACTTGCGGACAACTTCCCTAACATAATCATGTGGCAATGAACCAATCATTCTTTGCAGCCAGCCGTGATGGACGCAGCGCAACATTTCAGCATATGAGCCATATGAAAATGTTTTTGACAAAGTTGTTTATGACGTATCTCATGAGAACCGAGTCTGTTGATTAGACATCTCAGTATTAAGCCAAACTCTGTAGGACATATGTTGGGTATCAGATGGACGGCACTCTTTGAAAGAATTATACCCCTGCAACATCATTTTCAGGAGGCATAATAAATGGGTCAGAGATCGTACTCAGCGTACAAGACTTAAAAGAAAATTCAAGTACTGTAGCATAAATTCTGTGCTAGACATGGGCCTTATGTTGGATGCTCTAAGAACCTCAAAATCATTCAGGAACATTACATGATAGACAAATTACATTGTCTCGTTTAATTGAAATGCCACGTGTCACAATCAAAGATACGTAATCCTAGAGAATCACGGACAAGCACAAAATGCAGCTGATAAATTAGAATTTCAAGGACTTATGTTGGAGGACTCGAAAACCAGTCAATCCGACTTTCTCCAAAAGTTAAGCGAGAACAGTAACAAACAGTTTATGCATTGTTTTATCCAATAAAGTGGCCGGAAGAAAGCAACCCACGTTTCATAGGAGAATTACTTTCAACACGTGACTGCAGAAATATTTGTTTTTTGGGGATTTAGTGAAATCATGTTCAGTGCTAATTATTATTTTGTTCAAAATGATCTTTAACCACTGCAAATACATCATTCATAGAAACAGCCAAATGCGAGTGATTCGTTCTCCATATCTGATGTAAACACTACCATTGCAAAGAATGACTGGTTTAATGTTTGTCCTTCAGCGACTTGTCTCAATCTTTAGAACAAGATGAAGATGTTTAACAGGGACGTTGGGAACAAACTGTATGGCTCGTATAACACCCCTAAAGCAAGGTGTGGTTCACATAAAATCACCTGGAACTTCCTGGAGGTACGATAAACACAATAAGAAACCATATTTGGATTAGGTTGGGCTTTATTTTTAGGGTCATTCATCAACATCATTTCAAAAAATCTAATACTGAATAATTCGATATTAATTCTTTTCACGAGCCAAAAAATGACAAGCAAACTGGATCTCTGAGAACAACCAATCAGAAGCAACATTGTCCTTTCACTTACGCATAGCGCTCCCGAGCGGCGTCTTCTCTTAAGGGTCACTAACCAAAGTTCTGTACGCATTCCTCGATCTCCTACCAATATCAACTAAGACTCGCCTTTGCCCAAATCAGTACAGCTAAGTCCCTTGGCCATGCTCTAGTTTACGCACATTTCTAACTGTGCTGCATTGAACACAGATACGGTTCAACAACTCTGGTGTTCACAGAAATGCGTTATTGAGACCGTAATAGGGACAAAGTTTCTATGCAGAATCAGACTTTTTTTTCAGAAGGTAAGCAGCTGTTCCTTAGAGGCAGGCCTGTCCAGTCTGAACCCCGGTGCTGAGAATCCCTACCTGGAACACGTTGCCCTTATTACGAGCCGCCTGACCCTGGGGCTGCTGTTCCTGCTGTTCTTGAGCACCTGCCTTCTTTTCTTTTCCTTTGTCTTTTTCCTTTTCCTTTTCTTTCTCTTTGCTCTTCTTCTTGTCCACCGGAGGAAGTGGGGGTGGGCGCGGAGGAGCAGGGGTAGACTCTGCGGCCGTGCAGCACGCACTCTCTTGTAGCAGGAAGCAGAAGACGTAGAGCAGAAACAGGATGCTGGTCCCATAGAGGTACGTGAAGAAACCCTGCAACACAGATCACTCTCTGCACTCAAAATCCGTGCAATTTCAGTCAGAAGAGACAACATGCGAACGTTAGAATAGATTTATACTTTTTGAACTACACAGATGTGATGATGACGACATGGAATATTTCAATGAATGAAGATGGCAGTCTTCTGGGTTGTAGCGCCGTGTAGTCTGGTAGAATTTTAACAACATATCAGAGGTCCTTGCTGCCTCCATCATCAGGGCTCATTACTCTGATGATGGAACCAGCAATCCACAACGTACAACCCACAAGACAGCCATCTTCCATCAGTGTCCTGTGAAATGTGTTCAAGCCTGCCTCCAGAATCTGAAGCATCCGCTATACTGAAGAGTTTGTTGTGCAGAATAAGGAATGAGAAAAATGACCTTGGTGCACCTCAGAGTTAGTTCTATCTTAGACACATAATTCCTTCTTGTACAAGGTACTTTGTAGATCGATGTTTAAATCTGCCATTTGACAAATTCACAATTTTGAAATGTCTGCGTCACTTGAAGCGAATGTCAGGTTACAGACAACCAATCTTAAAAATATTAAAATGATGGCATAAAACAGACATAGGCATTTTAATGTGATTTGTCTCGCACTATACGCCTCCCTCAGCTGGGGACTCGCCTTCAAGCAAATGACATTGCATTAATTTGGTTCCTTCCACTTCGTGCAATGAAACGACCCAACAGGCAACGAACTGAGCCCAGCGCCTCAGTTATCTAAAATCTGTATCTGTTTCTGCAGCTCCAATTCAGACCTTCTTCCAGTGATTAATATGCTGGAAATGATCAGTTAAAATCAGAGTTATATTTCTGAAGAAAAAAAAACAATATTTTAAGTGAACAGATATTCTTTAAATATTAACAAAAAATAGCTGTGATACTTTCTGCCGCTGATTACACAAACCTTTGACGAATAAAATAATGAGGAAAATAATAATTAAGAAACTTGAATGTAGACATAATTTTAAAAGTATCCAGGTCAACATTGATCAGATGTCACAGAAAAAGTGGGCCCGTGCACCAACTATCTGTGGGCTTTAGGACTCAGAACAGAGGAACCGTATGGCATTTTGACTGAGTTTTGAAACCAAAGAAACTTTGTTACGTTAATTACAATGTGTATGGATGGGGTATCTAGTACAGTTCATACGGGTAACCTGTTGGATCCGTTCCCAGTGCACAATGGCAACGTCAAGGAAAGACACCATTTGGGTGTCCTAGGCAGATACGAGGGTGTCATGCAAGTAAGAAGAGTAGGCAAGCGGCACAGAAACTGATGTTTTCTGTAGTCTATAAGAAATGTGCTGTAAAAGCTAGTAAGTGAAGTTTAAACACTGAAGATGAAGACAGTATCCCCAGTGAAAGATGAGAGCAACATGACTTTGTTTCTGACAGCGAAATGTTTGCCGTGCTTCAAGTGACACATGAACAATAAGAGACTTGTCGTAACACGCAATTATATGAACATAAAATATTTCGCTGATCACTTAATCACACTTCGGACCGAGAAGAGGTCGCCGTCAACGTCCATTCCTCTAAAACACTTGCTGTCTTGGGTAAGTTCTTGTAGTTTTGCATTTACAAAGATGTAGTCTAAGGGCGAGTCCGAGTCGTTTTACGTATCTTTTTGTATCGAGAGAAAATATTTGTTATTTGAAAGTTATCGTATGTACAGAAGTCCCTTAAACCTTTACCATTACTGTTTTAAATTTTATGGACTATTTTTCTGTAAGAATTATCACTTTCTTTCCATTAGCAATTTTATTAAGTGGGATTATTAATCACTCTAAAAAATTAAGAGAAATTTGTTGTGTGTTCAAAGAACGTTTTGTGCCAGACTCTGTCATGTTTAAGGGGTAATGTGTTTAAGTCTCGTGCACTCCTCACAATCAAGACTTTCATAAGCACGTGTACTACATTTTTAACACGCACATTTTATAAAAACCAGTAATAAACTTAATATACCACACGTTTCAATAGTTTTTTTTTCTCTGGGAGATTGGGGTGGGGGGCATTCTTCTGACTGCATATAAACCATGCCTGTTGCAGAATTTGAATGATTTAATCAGTAATGTTCGCCATTTTACTGCCGAACAAAATAAATTAGTTTCAGTGAAGGAATGCAACACATTGCTTGGACCAGTCTTGGCATTCTACAGAATAGGAACGTCATAAAATGTGTGTCTAAAGTATATTATTTACTTCATTAGATTTACTTAAAGCAGACAAAAACTGCATGAAAATTCTGACTTTAATATTTTACCTGTGGCACATACTAAATGTTACATTGTTGCTAATGATGTTCAAGCTTAAGTGAGACATGGCAAGTAGATAGATCAGGCGCCTATGGAATCGAAAACGTGTGAAATTAAATGATCGCCACGAATTTTGGAGCAAGTCCAGTTTCTCTGACATCAAAAAAACTTCGGGCAGGCGGGAAAATACGACCTCCCTTTATGCAGAGGGCGGCTGGATTTTGCGACGTGTGAGGAAGGCAATGCCTGTCCGGGCTCTCGCCCAGCATCTGTAC